TGCTGATTCTTCTTGATTCTATGAAAGAGCTCAAGGTAAATAGCAGTGGCACCGGACTATATTTTGTGTTATTTCTGTTTCTTTTTAAACCTACCTTGAAAATATTCTTATGCTTCTGTTAACTGAATTCGTTAAACAAAAGACAGAAAAATACTTCTCCGCAATCTTCATAGAAAATATTAAACATTTAGAATTGATTCTGCAAAGTAAATACATCCAAGAATTTTTTTAGCGATCTTTAGTTAGTATATAAATTCCTTATATATGAAACTGTGAAATATATAAAATGTACGTGAAATATGTGAAATATATGAAGTGTAGACATTTCGTTATAAGCAATTTCAATGTATGACTAATTTATTCAGATATGAATATTTAAAATATTATTATTATTTAAATACCAATCTTCAAACAACAAGCAGCGGAATATAATCGATGATTATATGAAATAAAGAATTTTCATTATCAGCGACCTTCGCAGAATTGAGAAATAATTTTGAAATGATTCCTCAGAATGTATTGTATTTTCCCAATAATACAGAAATACTTTATAATTGAATTCATAAAATATATGGAAGAAAAAATCTTTATTAGCAATATCAGAGAATACAGAAGCGTCGTAAATTGTGTGGAATAAAGTTCTTTATTGGCAAATCTATAAATTATTAAAAAATTGGTCATATCTTATTTAATAAAATATGTGAAAAATAATTCTTTAACGCTTCTCTTTCGATAATACAGAAATGCTTTAGATATGATTCCTTTAAATAATGATGAAACTGTTATCGAATAAGGAATATTCTTTACCTGCAATTATTAGATAATACTGTCTTAGAACTGAAATAATAATATAATGAAAATACTTAATCACTAATATTCAGTTCTACTAGGAAGGTCGTGTTTATAGAAAAGTCGAGTTTATCGGAAGATCTAGAAATGTGATTAGAAAAACATACGGAATAAAGAACTTCATTACCAATCTTGACGGAATGCAGAAACCAGTACAAATTAATCCGTAAAATATAAATAATCAAGAAAATGTATCATCCCCAATTTTCGGATAATACAAATATATGAATTACAGACAATATTTAACAATCGTGCATTGGAATCCGAATAATTTATGAAATAATGTGAAAGTACTTATCACCAATCCTCAAAAATACTGGAAGCTCGCGATATGTAGTGTAATAAATCTATGGATTAAACAAATCTTTTAATCAGAAATCTTCAAGCAGAGCAAGAAGGTCGATTAATGGTGTTCGACAGTATGAAATATATATATTTTTTGTACAGGGTGACCACTGAAAGATTGAATGATGTAAAACAAAAATAACTTATACAAATACATGAGTATCTTGAGTTATTAAAGCTTGGATCATTTTTATCTTGTATGTAAACATTTTAAAATCCAGTTTCAGAATCTTCTGAAGCATTGTTCTGGCGATGCCTAGTTGAGCAGAGGGACGACGGGTGGAAGCTGATGGATCCTTAAGGACATTCTGCCGCACAGCTTACATCGCTAAGACAGTGCGCTTCTCAAAAGAAAAAAATTCATATCTGCGGTCCATACAACATCAGGACAATATTCAGAATCAGTTGCACTATATGGAGAAATCTTTGACGAGTCAAACCTAATACGGAGGTAGGGAGATGGCCAATAATTAGATGTACTCGATTCCTAGCAGTTGTACCAAAGTATATAAAGGTGAAACAATCCGCCCTCTAAAAGTAAGGCTGGAGGAACATCGAAAATCTCCAATGGGTAGTTAAAAATGAAATCGGGCATGGCTGATCATGTAGTCATCAGTCCCTGTAGTATGAAGTGGAAATATTGGACAAGGAAGAACTCTGGAGAGTTAGACGTAGGCCGAACATAGAAATAAATACAATATGTGAGTCACTAATAAATAAATAAATAAATTCAACAGCAGCAGTAATCAAAACACGACGGACAGCAGCAGTAGTCAGAATATGACATCAGTTGCAGCACTAATCAGCAGGTAGGTTAGGTATAAGGCTCTAAGTTCACTACAGCAAATTGTCTTCCGGGACAATAGCCAAGAGTTGGTTAGTGAATTTGGTAACATAGTGATTGTGAGTTTAATCCTTTGGACTCAGTGGAAACAGGCGAGCAATACTGGGCAATATTAAAATTAAACATGGACAGTGGAACAAGAAGAGTCTACCTCCGTAAATTCAGTTCAGTTCAGGATTGCCTGAGGCTTACTCAGATTGATATACACCCGAAGAAGGCCGAAACGATATAAGAACAACAAAGATGAGGACAAAAAATAGTAAATAATATAGTGTCAAAAAAACTTATCTTTGTAAACTTTTGTGCACATTCTGCAATCATTATAATAAACATAAATAATGGTATTTAAAAAATATATTAAATAACAAAATATTTAATCACACATCTTATTTTTACACTGTTAGGACTGTTGTTCCCATCTTCGTTGTCATATTTATGACATTTCGGCCATTTTACAGTGATATTCATTGGAATTTCGAACTGAACTCTTTATTTCGCTCACCGGGGTAGATTTTTCTGGTTCCACATGCCATGTCTCTTCCGGATATATCACTTTCAGTTATTTCCCTTTAGTAGCTTAACTCTTCAACAATCGCTTTTATTCACTGGACTATGTGAAAAGACACAACTTATTTTCGTTAAGAAACCAAGTATAGGAAAACATCAGGATCTGAGAACGTAAATAAACCTCTGCAATTTTTCCAAAACAAGAACATTACTGAACATCATCGAGTGTATACAGGAGACAAACTACCACATCTTATCAAAATCCGTTGATGGTTTTTATTATAAAAGTTTTCCAAGAAAACCTCTTATTCTACATGATTTTCTATTTCCGTTTCAGTGCTTTCATTTTCTATGAAAACTTTCCAATACTAAAACCTTCTGAGAAACGATCGCCTTTAGCACAAGGCTAAATATTTTAAAAATATTCTGTGCAATGATAACTACTGGTCTACCTAACGAAAACTGAATATGAATAGAAATTGGAAATAAGTTATTTACAAATAGGTTCGAATGTTCTTTGTAAAATAAAAATGTATATTTAAAACTTTTCTATAAAATATATTCCACAAAGCATAACCCTCATCCCACGTATGTTTTAAGGATCTGTTTATTATGAAGCTGTAGAAACATGGAACTGATGATCTGTTTTTGATCGATGTCTATTCCATTATCACTTTTCTAGGATGGGTAAAAATAACAGGCCCACCTCCCTCCAAAAAATGAGTTTCTTTTCATTTTCATCATTTTACAATTTGCAATACTCGAATGGAGGTATTTTTCAAACAGTTCTAAGATTTCAAAAGTTCAATTTGTCTTGACATCGAGACTTCTTACACTAAAGAACGCTTCTTTATTTCAGCTAAAGAGAAAAGTCTGGATGTTTCCCAATATCTGTGATCCATACCGAAGGGATACTGCTGTATCGAGAAGAGACTATGTTAAAATTAGCTCGTGTCAAATTGTCTCTCATGTTAGGATGACCACCTCCATGAAGACATTGCCTGAAGGAAGGCGTGCTTTTCAGTTTAACTATAACACGGATAAAAGACAGGCCACGTGGTAAGCAGCTCCTTCGGCTGCCGAAATCTGAAAGTCCTTTTGGCGAACCACGTCACTTCGATTTGTCCCGGTTTGCCCTGGGGGTGAGCAAACGAGCTACCAGTCAATCATTCGAATGCAGACCCTCCTTGAGCTTTCTTGGTGGGTGGTTGGGTTGAAAACTAACTTAGGAGGGTGGGTGGTCTTCATGATGGTTTGTAGGTAGAGGGAAGAAGTGGGAAGCATTGAACACTATGGTGGTGGGTGGAAAGCGTTGAAGTCATTATAGAGGCTTTATTTTAGCCTTTTACTCTTTTTTTTTAATTTCTTGTTGCAAATGCGATATTTTTGCTTTGTTTTCTTTCTTTCAAATTTGTTGTCCCTGTAATTTTCTTTCTTTTTGCCTTTCTTACCGTAGAATATTTTTCTTCAGATTTACTTTCCTCATTTTTTTGTTTTTATTTCCTTTTTATTATACTTTCTTTTAAATCTTCTTGCTTTGAAGTCCTTCCTTCCTTCCTTCCTTCCTTCCTTCCTTCCTTCCTTCCTTCCTTCCTTCCTTCCTTCCTTTCCGTTCAAATGTTTATGTACCAGAAATTTCTCTCTTTTCTCTGTACTTTCTCCTCGACTCTTTCTCTTTCTGTTGTTTAGCTATTCTAAAAAAAATCTTTGATTTTTTTTCGCCCTGGTGTCTGCTCGTCCCTCCAACCTTCTCTTTCTTTTAGAAAATAAACATTCGCCATTGCAAAAGGACGGTCATTACAGCCCCTTATGAATGACAGTATCAACTTACACAAAACTTCATTCATCTCTTCAACAATTTTGCCTGTCGCACTATTTATTCTAGGTTATGGTTCCCCCCAAGCAAAACACCACCCCTAAACCCTCCATGTCACTTCACCCTCTCCCCACTTGATTCTCTATTCAGTTCACCCCTTGAAAGTTTTCTTTTATTCCATTTGTATGGCTCACCTTTCTCCTGATTAAACTTACCTCACCTACTTGACTCCTATTACCTTACACTAACCCCTACCCTCTCAATATCAAAGTCTAATGTCCTCTTCATCTTTTCTATTTGACCCTCATCCACACTTCACCGTCAGATAAACTCAAATTCACACGTCTGTCGAATACCGAACCCGCTTATAAACTTCATCTCAAACATGTTTTCTCGACGGAACACCTGAGTCACATTTCTTTCTCACCAACCGATCCTACATATCTATTCCTTTGTTATCGCATCAAATTTGAGCCGCATTTCTTTCTTTCGACTCTAATCTTTACTTCTTCGTCGAATCAATTCGAATATACCTTTGATATCGGCTCCTTCCTGATCTCAGATCAGCGCACGCGTACAAAACAATGACTGCCGTGTCGGAAAATCACTATACAATCGGACTTGAGATCTCCCGCTTCCAGGTTCCCATTCGATCACCAAAGTTAAGCAATGTCGAGGCTGATCAGTACTTAGATGGGGGACCGCATGGGAACATCTGCTACTGTAAGTAACCTCTGAAAGCTGAAATGCTTTGGCTTTAAATAACTCAGAAAGGGTTGATAAAACGTAAAAAAATAATACTTAGACATGATATCACCAAATACCGAGGCTGATAACTGCAAATTAATCGACGTCAAGCAAGTTTACTTCAAATTGATAAGGCAACTCTAACAACTATGTAAGTTATGAAATTGTTTAAACTTTCAGAGAAGATGCTCTTCTGGAAGTTATTTATTTCGATTTAAATGCTTTTATTTTCTCTGATGAATCATTGGGGCAAAAGCAGTTGCTCCTTTCCACCTACTAATACTGCCACTCTCCGACTGCCGACCATTTTAAAGACACTGTTGTTTCTTTGTTCACCGTACTGTCATAGTGTCTTCTATTTAAACTGATCTCCTTAATATATATTGTCTTTTTTTAATCGTTTTGTTCCAAGCAAGGCGATAATGTCACTAAGACGCAATGGCTTACTGTGAGTGGAAGAGCGCATATCTATCTATCTATCTATCTATCTATCTATCTATCTATCTATCTATCCTCACGATATCGACTTAAATGAAAATGATTCCACTCTCGATCATATTTTCGAAGCAATTATTGCCTATGAAATTATTCTGTTTTGATACACAAGAATGATAAAAACGTTTCATAATCCCAACTGATATAGAAGCTCTGAAATGATCGAAATCCTTTTCTATAGTTAGCGCTTAGGAATATTTAAGGGTAAAGTAGAAACAAAAACCCTTTACACTGAATTACATAAACACATCTTATCTGAGAATAATTTGCTAAAATCTGCATGTATAATTTTTAGAAGACTGAAATACATAAATTAGGGGAAATGTTTTCTTACATTCGTTTCTTGCTTCTGGCGTTAGGAAGTGAAAATTCAGAAGAGAAAAAATCTTTGATGAATTATCATTTCTCGATAAGATGCTTTTTTTTTACTCATATACTCATACTTGTGAATTTTATTAATATTTTTCAACCGATGCATTTTAGGCCTTCCTCAGATCTATAATGTGTGTGCAGAAATTTCAGTCTATTTTCAACTGTGTATTATTGAGTTTCTACTTTTTAAAAAGGCACATTTTGCACACAGTTAATATACAAGAAATGTCCTACTATAGTTGGTTCAAGTATCATAGGTTTCTGCGGGTAAGTATCTGTGATCCATAACGACAGAATGAATTATACTCCTGGGGAATGCCAGGACAATGAAATAGTGGATAATAGGTACAAAAATAACGAGGATAAAAATATTAAAAGATTTAGGCAGCTGGCACTGGATGTCACTTTAGACACAGAAACAATAATCATAATTATCAGAATGAATTATTCTTATTTGACTAACAAGTTTTGGAAAATGCAAGGAGACGATTTATGTCGGTATTTTTAGGTGAGGAATTATCATTATTCTATCCAACATATTCACATAATCTGTACTTTCCTCTTCCTACAACAACCTCATTCAGTAACCGTCTTCTTGAGTGGCTCTTGGGGCTTGTAATGTGTAGAAATTTATAAAGGATTTAGGATGGTGTTCATCGTTATTTTAGATATAGTAAAGAGGTTGCCAGAGCCTAAAATACTTTTTAGATTGTCTCATACTTCAGTATTTTTCCCTTTCTATTGATTTCATTCCACATTTGGATGATGACTACTGTTTTCTTCTATACATTATTCCTCATAGCTGATTACAATGTCTCACCGCAGACTAAAAACTTTCGATGTCCCTCCACCCTTAGTTTTAGAAGGCTTTGCGACTTAAGACTTGAGAACTGGTATTTTAACTGAACTTGAACACACAAAAAAATCGCTGGTGAGAAATGTAATTATCTCGATACGAACAGGCTTAAAAAATATAAACTGTTATAGGAAAAAGGAGTAAGAAAAATAGTGAGACACGCGACGCAGGAAACATGGTTGGAGAATTATAAAAAGATTATTGCAAAAAAAAAAAAAACAAACAAAAAAAAACAAAAAAAACTGTTAAGTGATATTTTGGGCATACACAATGTGCTGAAAATATGAAATTTTTAGTCCAATAATAACATTGATGAAATAAGGAAAAGACGATTACATTTATGCACATTGTAAAAAATCGAAACTTTTCCTTTCAATTACAAATAAAACAACATAAATCAAAATTAAACTTGATGGGCAGAACCACTCTTTCAAAGAAGTACAATATTACCACGCGAATATAAAGAAAACGGGCAAGTTTACGAACACATGTAAACAAATGCATTAGTATTCGATATTGCTAATTTACACAAAATGATTAAAAAGCCGAATAATTAAAAAATATATAAATTGGGATAATAAGAGAAACAGTACTTGACTTCGAAAGGGACCTTCACATATCGCTGTTGTATTCGCATCAAGGGTTTCTTTGGACTTTATAGCATGATGCGGTTGTTAATTTGTTGCCTCTGGTAATAAGTTGGGTTTGAATTCGGTGTTGTTCTACCTTTTTCTTCTTTTTTTTCTTTACATTTTCTTCACTTAGATTTCTTCTTCCTCTTCTGAAAGCATTTAAGTGTTTTGTTGTCTCTACTCTGCTTGGCGCACATAAAAATGAAGCGGAAAAAATGACTGCCATTTTTTGATTAAGGCCTTCAGTCTGTTCATTTGCGAACATTACTTGTCTGAGTTCAACATCTGATTTTGTAGAATATCCTATTTGGACGGTGAATTTCCCGATGATAATAAAATTTAGCTCAAATCTGGATCAATCCAAGTATTTCAGGACAATGTCAAAATGATTTTTATTTAAATCTAGAAAAATATTTTGGTTGAAACACAAAATATGTTTATATAATGTTTTCTGTCTAGAATTGGCAGCATTTCCAGCGGCATACCTACATTATTCATCCTGAGATGACATCATGACTCCGACAATCAACAATCAGCCGGTCTAGAAATACCCAGGTAAAGGATGAAATTACCACCAGCCACTGCTTTTAAATCTGTCGTCATGAGGATTCTGTGAAGTATATTTCAAGATTTGGAATGTTACTGCCTTCTCGACATATTGTCGCTCCCAATCTAAATTCTTGGCCCTGCGGGAAGAATGAGGAGAAAAACATGAGCAGTAGAAGAATGAGAAAGAGACTAAAAGAAAGGATAAGGAAATCAAGGAAAAATGAAAAAAAAACATGAAAAAGCGGGGGAAATCTAGAGGAAAAGAAAAGAGTGTCATATTGAAAAGAATTGAAAAAGAAAAGCAAAAAACGAGTAAGACTATAGGGTTATATAACTTACTATTTTTCTTACCTGTTTATTATGCAAGGATTTTGAGAATATTTTCGATTTATGTAATGAATTGTTTGAACAAAATTTCAACTGTAGTTACTAAGTCAAATTTATATGAGGGTTTTTACCACAAACTAAGAGAAATGCAATCTTTGAAAAAGATGTTTGATGGGACCTGCTAATGAGAGTATCTCCTTTCATAGTTAGATCTTTTCTTTGACATATTCAGGATATTCAGTTTTATTATTCCTTCAATCACAAAAGGCACTAATTCATGTAACAGTTTTTCTTTTCTTTTTTTCTTAAAGACTGTCAGTAGAAAAAAAACAATTTTGTTATCGTTCATTTTGAATGGCGCATGGTATGACATTTTAGATTGAGTTGAATGAGCAAGTGTTTTGAAAATACTTTTACTGTACATGCGTGTTTTCTGCAGCCTTGTGTGTAAGTCCTGGAATCTTTAAAGCGATTGGTTATCAATTTTTTTGTTATGTAGACATTTTTAAAAGATTGAACAAATTTGAGAGATTAAGAAAAGAAAGCTTTGAAAGATTTACAAAAAGTGTTGCTGTATCTTGGCGTAATGGTCAGCTAGTTAACTATTACTACCATGTAGTTAGTTCGATTCTCAATTGATGCATCTTGTAACCTTACCCCAACCTAAACTTAGTAACATAACAACAATTACAGGCGTAACATTTTTAACAAAAATTTCTATTGAACAAATTCATGCTGTTTTCTTTGGACAAAACAAGATAACAATTTTTCATAGAATATTTCACCGGAGAGCAACGATTGGAAAATTAATTTCTTAGTCAGTTTGTGCTCTGCTGGTTGATCAACATTTGTAGCCTTGCGCTTTAATAAACTAACGTTAAGATTGTTAACAAAGTTTACTTTGTTATTTAAAATTGATTATTGTGCAGATTAAAAAACTGATCACTATCGGTTCATTTTAGACAGAATTTAGAGATTATCTAAATTCGCAAGAATGAAGATTACAGAACAAAGAATTTTCTATATAATCTCTTCCAAATCATTTCCTTGTTTAGTATTCTTTTCATTTTGCTTTCCATGTAAGTACTCATTTTTTGACATCGGATTTCATAAATACACATAAAATAAATTCAATTTCTCATTTATCTTTATATGTGGGATTTTGACAAAAATAGTTGGATTGCTCGAATTTTGTCGCTGAAATCAGTGCAGATTCTACTTGCCACGGTGTAATGTTAATGGAAATATTATCCGTTTTCTCAGAATTCGTTAAAATAAATTTTCAGGAAAATAAGTTTCTCAAATCCAGTCACTGTTAATGCTCTTTCCAGTACTGAGTATGTTTGTGGGAGTGGGAGCGGGATTTCTACTTAATCATTTGTTTCAAGTAGCGTGGGATGTCAACATTCTGGCTTCGAGTTTTAATGTGTTATCAATTTTAGTTGTTACTCCTGATGAAAGTCCGCAATTATTGTGGTTTTGTCTGATACAGTTCTTTGTGATTCTGTAGCGCCATTCCATGTGGTTCGAAAAAATATGGTCGTCGGTAAGAACTACATGTTTCAATCGTTGGAAGCCATTTTAACGATCGATCTGAGAAAGGCGGTTGTATACAGCTGATTATTTAAACATTTCTGAACGAGTTTAGCGCCTTGCCTGACATCAATAGGAAAATCCGGAAAGACTATTTAAGCATATGACTTTAATTTTTACGTTACTGTTTTGGTGTTGTGCGAAACTTCACCGAG